ACATTCATGGTCTTTATTTTTTCTTTTCTTTTCTCCTATGCTCTCATCAATGAATTAATCAAACTCCTTATTAGGCCTCCTTTATTTGTAGCCTGTTTGCTGCTTGACTTAACAAATCCTGCAAACCCACAGCTAAACCCATAAAGTGTTCCCTATTATGCGACCTCCAACCAAACAACCAGGGGCAGCATCAGCCAGCAAGCACCAGGTTTTGGAGTTAGACCGATTTGAATCCCAGCCCACTGAGCTCATAAGTTGGGGGCCAGTTCCCTTCCGTCACACCAGCTCTCTCTTCTATGGCGTGGGTGGCCCTGTCACCTGCCCACAGGCTGTGATTGAGACAGGGAAAGTACCTGTGCTCAGATAATTGTTAGCTTCCAAACAACTGTATTATTATTGTTGTCTTTGTCATTGTTTCGACTTCCCAGATGTCTTTCTACGCCCATACATTTTATCAGTTATAGTTTATCTTTATGTGGAAACCTGATCCTATCCTTTGATATTTCAGTAATATTCTCTGGCCCCTTCCCAAATTTTCTTCCACCATTTCTGAATAGAGAAAAGGAGGGGAAGCCACAATTGAATGGTATGGCCTTCCATGGCATAGATGTTTTCTCTTTCCAGACCTTGGTTGGGTTTCAGGGAATGCACAAAAATATCAGCTGGGGAGGGGGGTAGAAATCATTGTTTTCAGCTGAAATAACATCAGTGCATACATTCTTTTCTGCAAGAGTGAGGAGACCAAGATACTGGAGGAAAGAATTTGGTTTTGAAAGGTTTTGAAACGAGCAGGAAATTAGACAGAGGAACTCGTTTTGCTGACTGAGAAAAATGCCCCCGATTCAAATCTGAAACTGAACCACTGAGATGATAAAACCCCTCCCTAACAAATCCGGGTTAAAATCAGGATGTGGCCCTTTCCTTCTCTCACCAGCTATTTTGGGTTATCTTTGCTGAAGGCAAATGTAATTGTTAAATGTGCAGATGTTACATTTAGTTCTTCCCGTCTTGCATGTGTATCTCTTTGCTTTTTTTTTTTTTTTTTCTTTTACAAGAAACAACTTTAATTAACGATGGCACACGTTTTCTTTCCTCCGGCCTGTTTGGTCTGGTTATAATGTTTCTATTTGGGGGGAAACTTGTACCTGAATGTTGGTCTTATAGTCTCTTCAGAGTTCAGCGTTCTAGCAGGTAGCTCAGGGAACATGCCCGGTCCCTTCTTTCTTAGAAGAAAGAAATCAAGGTGCCAAGGGACCACTTCAGCTCTTAAAAAGGAATGTGGGCTTATAGGTGAAGGCAGGGCTTAAAGATCATTTGCCTCAATAGAGTACGAGGGACAGGAGAGGGAAATTAGGGAACTGGGCTTTGGCTCCAAGGTGAATACCTACCTCTTCTGGACAGAATGGTTTGTGTCCTTCCGAAGTCACATGTTGAAATCTTAACTCCCAGTATGATGGTATTTGGAGGTGGTGCCTTTGGGAGGTGGTTAGATCATGAGGGTGGAGCCCTCATGGATGAGATTAGTGACCCCATGACAAAGGTCCCGGAGAGCTACCTTGCACTGCCTCCCCGTGCAAGGAGAACACAGCTCCTATAAACCGGGAAGCAGAGTCTCATCACATTGAATCTGCCAGCAACCTTGATCTTGGACTTCCAACCTCCAAAACCGTGACAAATAAATATCTGTTGTTTATAAAGCACTCAGGCTATGGTATTCCTGTCATAGCAGCCTAGAGGGACTAGGCACCACCTTAGCAGAATAATAACTCACTTTTATTGAGTTACACGCCAGGCACTGTTGTAAGTGCTTGCCATGAACTCTCTCCTTTAATTCTCAGTACTTCTGTATGTACTTCTATAAGGTGGGTATTATTGCTGACACTTGTGGGTGAGCCAGCCAAGGTTAGAGAATTAAGTCACTCACTCCGTTAGCAGGTAGGAGAGAGTTAGAACCGCAGTGCTGGCCTAATTCCAGACATGCTCCCAACTACCCAGCATCTTTCCCCCTTTTCTCCCTTTCCCCTTTTCCAACTCACCCAGTTTCCACTTAGGGACAAGGGCGGTTCCAATGGGCCTAACTCCAATCCAGCGCTGGGTCGGGTCGCAGGAGACCTAGCACTCAGAATGAATGCAGGACTTCCGTGAGAGAGCTGTCTCTCTCCCTTTGTACATTGGACAGGTGTGAAACTATTTGCTCTTATAGGAAAGACTGTCCAAGGGTGAAACCAATATTCAGGGAGGCCAGAGGTGCAAGAATCTTGGAGAAATAGAGATGAAGCACTGATGACAAGTGTGAACCTTTGCAGCAAACCAGGGCTGATGCTAGAAACATGTGGGGGCTCAGCAATCACAGGGGCCAACGGGGTTTTGTATGTGTAAAGCCAGACTGAGTTGAGTGTCTGTTCCTTATGCCCAAACATTCTAAGTGATGTGATCACACCGCCCAAATGGATATTCAGCTTTCTGCCTGGGCCCTAGCCTTGGGTACTGACATTTCCTTCACACCATATATATATATATATTTGTTTATATTTATATATATTTATATATTTGGTGGGAAGGTTATAGGGTATATATATATACCCTGTAACCATACACACACACACACACACACACACACATACACACACACACAATTGACTGTCGAACGACATGGGTTTGAACTGTGAGGGTCCACTTATATGCTGATTTTTTTTGATACAGTGCAGCATTCTAAATGTATTTTCTCTTCCTTATGTTTTCTTAACATTTTCTTTTCTCTAGCTTACTTTATTGTAAGAATTCAATATTTAAATACATAGAACCTACAAAATACGTGTTAATTGACTATGTGGTCGGTAAAGCTTCTGGTCGGCAGCAGGCTCTTAGTAGTTAAGTTTTTGGAGTCAGAAGTTATACATAGATTTTCAGTTGCATGAGGGCTTGGTGCCTGTAATGTCTGTGTTGTTGAAGGGTTAACTGTTTATGTGGATACAGAGAGTTTCCCTTAAATTATAAGGAGGAGCCTGTGGATGCCCAGAACAGGGGAGCTGTCTGATATCCACAAGTGTTTTTTGGGAACAGAGCATCATCTTGAATCAAACTGAGTTTTTTGGTTTGTTTGTTTGTTTGCTTGTTTTGTTCCTGTTTTTGTTTTCCCTCAGGGAAGTTTACTGAGGAGAAATGCTTAGAATGCTTTATAGTGATTTTGAAACAGCAGGAGCTCTGCTTTTAAGAAAATGAGACACAACTTAAGTTCTTTGTCAGTGTGCCCTCCACACCTCGCCTGCAACGCAGGCACACGAAGAGGTGGTCAGCCCCAGAGAGCTTGCCTTGGGGTTGCCCACATCCCCCTTAATGCCTCTGGCTTCCTCGGATGGAGTTCCAAACTTCATCCTTCATTCCTGTGATCAGCCAGAATGTCACGTAGGGATAATGATTCCTGCATTTCTCCTACCAAGACGGAGCCAGGGAAAAACTTTCTCTTTCTAACTTGCAGGAGAGGAACTCACAGTGAAATTTAAGGTCCATGACAGGACACTAAGGACAAACAGATCTTGGGGCAGGGAAACACCTTCTTTTCCTCTCAAGTTAATCCTTGAGTGCGGCTGCGGTGTGTTGGGGCCAGCCCTGTACATGGAAATCCCCTGTTTCATCCAAACCCGTAGGTCTGAACACGCCCCCAACCCACACACATACACACACGTACACATATTGTCATTGAATTGTAAGAAGATGACAAAGAACAGGAAAGGGAAAGGGAACAGAGGAATTTCAGAAAAATGAAAAGTGAGCTCATTTCCGATTGCTTGTCCCTGCCTCTGGAAGGCTGTGGCCACTGTCCTAAGCTGTTGGAACACGTGAGTACTCAGAACCTCCGCGCAGCCTTTACTCCACACATAAGGATGCTTACGGGAGAGGGAGCAGGGGAATGTCTCACTAGAGGGAATGGCAAAGGATCAGAAATTCAGTCTGCTGTTGGTGTGCATAAAAGGATCACAGCCATGTGTGTTCAGAGGTCTGCTCCCCAGCCGGGCATAAGCACAGTATGTCTTCTTTCTCGAGCATTAATGGGTGTAAGTAAGGACACTGCTATAATTTTGTTTCTCCATAACCCAAAAAAACCTTAGATGCTGGTTTTAAAGTTTTAATTCACCAGGCATTTACAGCCTGCTATTCTGGGTAGTTTAATTATGTACAGATGGTAATTAATAGCAATGAACATTTTTAAACTTTGGATTTTTCGCCTTTTAATCTCTAACATAGTGGTATTTTATGGATCTCAAAGACCTGCAAATGATAAAGTCAACCCAGTCACCTGATGCCAGTCCCCTGGGCAGGAGCAAGAGGGCCAGATGTTGGGCCCAGGGACACTGGGAGGATCAGGGTGGGGAGGGGGGCACGGGACGGTGTCAGAGCTATGGAGCCCACCATGTGATTCTGCACATCCTGGGACAGAAAAGGACGGGGTTGCCAGAATGGCTCTGAGAGCGGATAGCAACCTGCTCATTTACGGAGGCCCTTGGAGGTGTTTCTGAATGCAAATGAACATGCCCACTGATCGACATGGCTTTTTAATATTTCAGGGGACCGCAAGCTCCACACGGTCTGTTTTGCTCCCTGGAGTAGCCTCAGTGCTGAACACAGGGCCCAGGACTTCAGTGTTCAGCAGGTACACATCAAGAATTAATGAATGCATTAATGAGAGCCATGACGTGCTGAGGCCAAGGACGGCCGTGCTTGGGGGACGATGATATAATGAGGTTTGGCCAGGCGGGATTTGGATGTCGTTCTTTCTAAGGTTTTATCGGCTCCTCTGTCCTTGTGGCCAAAGGGCCTGGAGCTTGCTCAGAAGGAGGGGGAGGACAAGGGGCACATTTTGCCAGCTCTCTAATTCCAGCCAGTCGGTCAACCTCCTCAAACTCTTAGAACTACTTATGCTTCTCCAGCACCTGGCGCTTTGTCTGGAGGAAATTACACTGTAACTACGGTCTCGCACTAAGAGCCTTCGAACAAACCACGAGGAACAACAGTGGGCCAGCTTTCTTTATTCTGGGTAACAGGGGAAGTGCTCCTGCGGAGCTGTTTCTGCAGGTGAGTCTGGCCATGCGGAGGAGGACGGGCCCACAGGATGGCGTCGAGACTACCAGGAGGTGACTCAGGAGCACATACATGCGTGGAGTCTGAGGACGTCCGGTCCTGGGGCTAAAACCTGCGCCTGCCCCTCTGCTGAGCCTCTCCATCGTCGGCTGGTTTTGCTTACAGAGCAGGTCCAGCTTGAGCAGCTTGTGGTTCCCAGCAGACACAGTGTGCTCCAAGTTTCAGCTGCTCAGGAGCAAACAACAGTGGCATTGGCACAAGCCACGGTGGAACGGTGTTCATTATACAGTTCCAGCAAAATCTGGTATTCTCCCTGGAAAGGACGCAGGGAAAGCATGAGCTGTGTGACCCACAAAGCAATCCATCGTTCCACCGGTAGTCATCAAGCACCTCCTAGGTGCCGGCACTCTTTTAGACCCTGGGGATAAAGTAGAACCAGGCAAACCAAACTCACTTTGTGGCGCTTACGGGGCTCCCTGGGACAGACAGACAATGTACCCGATCCTTCACTATGGGTGCTATGCTCATGCTGGTGCCCGAGACAGAACGCAGGCAGGGAAGCGGGGGTGGGGGTGTGGGGGGGGCAGTGCTGGGCCGGGCAGGGCAGGGTGGGGCTGGGCTAGTGCTGGTGGGCAGTTTTAAGCAGGGTGGTCCAGGCAGGTCCCGCTGCAAAGGTGACTTTTGGGCAAAGACCTGAAGAAGATGGGGAGCACCCCCGCTGCTCTGAGGGCTGGCACCCTGTGTGTGAGGAACAGGGAGGACGCCCACGGGGCTGCAGGGAGAGAGAACCACAGGAGGAGGGAGAGGACATGAGTCAGGGATGGCCTCGCGGGCCATGGTGAGGACACTGGCTTCCACCCTGACAGGGACACAGGTCATGAGAGGAGTGGCCTGATCACATGCATATCATAATAGGATCCTTCCGGCCACCCACAGAGCCGGTATGGGCAGAGAGTGGAAGCACTTAAGACCAGGTGGGAGACCACCCTGGCTGGAGCAGACAGGCAGAGATGAGGAGAGGAATCCAGACTGGATTCTGGATAGATTTTGAAAGAAGAGCCAATAATGATTTACCGAGGAAACTCATGTGGGTGGCAGAGAAAGAGAGGGGCTGAGGGTGATGCCAAAGATCTTGGCCTGAGCAACTGGAAGGATGAAGTGTCATTTGCTGAAACAGAGAAGACCTCTGGGGGATCAAAATTCAACTGCACAAAACCAGAATGCTCTATGAGAAAAAGTATTGCCACCTTTTAGGGTTCCTTTTCTGGCGATGACACTCCACAGAGGACTCTCTTTGTCTGTGCTTAGTGGTTGGGCTGAATGTGAACTTGCAGAAAAACCCATGTGTCGGTTCCGTGCCAAAGCCCCGCCGCAGCCCCCAGAGGCCACGTGGTGGTGACGTGTCTGTAGGCTCACCAGCCTGGAGAGAGATGCTCTGGGCCGTGGGAGGTAGTGGTAAGCAGGGCAAAGGGCCCAGGACGGAAGGATCTCAAGAGATTCCTGGCACATCTTTCAAGTGCCTGTCACCCAGAGAAGAAAAGGGGTTTAGTCTGTATAAGCCGGAGGGAAGGAATAAATCAGACCACTGGATGGAGGTTGCATGAGAGGCAGTTTTTGTTAGAGAAGAATAACTTTCTAGCAATTAGCAGAGGTCCAGGAGCGAGCGGGTGCCCCAACAATGAAAACTGCATTCGGCAGAGCCAGGCTGTACTCTTGAATAGTGGCTGAGGTGAGAGGGTTGCTCAGAGTGTCCCGTAGGGTGCCCCTCAGCTTGAGGATCTGTGACAGCATAGACTCCCATGAGGCTGGCTGCCCAAATATGAGCAGCTGCGATTTCAGAAGCAGTATAGGAATTTAAGCGAAGCAGTGTGAAAGTTAGAGAATTCATTGTGAGTAGAGAGCAGTTCAAATGTGCATCTGCTCGTGACCCCCTCACCATCACCTTCTTTACGTTTAGTGTCCATGTGCCTTCAGGCACACACCGCCCCAAATTATTGAAAACCAAATGAATTTTTCGTTATTGCCTTAAAAGCCTAAGAAAAGATGTAGTATTTGCAGGAAGGTTTCTAGATTATGAATTCCACACTTACATTCCACACATGCATACATATGTACAAGATACGCATACTCTGGTTTAGGAGGCAAGAGAATTTGGGCAACTGTGCTCATCAGCAGGGAAGTGGAGGGACACGCTAAGAGGACAGGAGGGGCAGAGTAGGGACAAGGGTCAGAGAGCGGCAGCCTCTCTGCTGTTGAGGAGAGCCCCGAATTTGTGGGTCAGGAATTTACAGTCGTATCCTTGGCACTTAACGAAGATTAGGCTCCACACATTTTGGAAGCCCAAAGGATCTCTAAATTCTAATTCAGAAAACAAGTCATGGATTTGCAGGGCTCTGGGCAGGACTTCAGTCAGGGCCAAGGGACTGGCTGTGTTAAAAAGAAAGTAACACCAAGACACTGAAGATGGAGTGCTGAGTGGAAAAGCTTCCAGCCAAGCAGGGATGGAATTAGCACAGAGCCCATCTCTGGGGGATTTGGTGGGAGGAGGGGATCCAGGGCAGGTCTTTTAAAACCAGAAGGCTTCACACTGTCTCTGTCCCATATTAGGAAGCAAAGTCTCTGCGCCTTGCCGGCTGGCTGTCAGCCAAGAAAGCCGGGCTGGCCGCAGCTGGCCCTCAACCAGCGTGGGAGCCCATGTTGAGATTAAGGCGGGCAGCTGTCTCTGTTGCGTAGGTGACAGGTTGCATGTGTCCCACTTGGGTCATGCCCCCTGTCAATTTTGGCCAGGTGTCAGCAGGCTGGATGCAGTCAGGGCTGGCCAGGTTTCTGCTTCTTAGGCCCAAACCTCAGAAGGGGAAGAGGACCAATGGATGCCTAAACAACCATGCCCATGGCAGGGACCCCGGAGCCTGGCTTGGTCCTCATGTTGGACAACATGGCTGAGCACTGTCACTGGTTGAAGAACGCGGGTCCTGCACTCACCCAGGCATCCTAGTGGAATGCAATAAAGTTTTTTTTTACATCTCTGCCAGATTTTCCTTTCAAAGGGATTCTGTGCCTTTAAGAAGTTCTTTTCCTTTCTATTTCACAGCAATTCCTAAAGAACATTGCCTTAAAAAAAAAAAAAAGCCAATAATGCAAGATGAAAATCAATTGTTTGCAAATTTTAAGTCAATCTCCAGTGGGAGGGGGGACGGAGGGATTCAGAAGGAAAATAGAGAAGGAAAAAGAGCTCAAATAGCAAAGATTTCAAGAAAAAACTAGCTGGGAGAATTTTGGTCCCACATTCTAGAAGTGAAGGGAGTTTGCAAGACTCTAATATTTTACTGAAAGGTCTGCAGAGAAGACTCTGGAGAACCCTGGAGGGGGAAGGTGAAGCTGGAAACTTCCCATCTGCAAAGGCAACACTAGAGAATGTTCTTGAGACATGAGGGCTTGCACCTTCGGAACCCAAAGCCTGGGACAGAAAGGAAACACACACACACACACACACACACACACACACACACACACGAGAAATGAAACAAAGTTAAACAAATTCGTTATGCAGAAGGAGACCCTTCCCCAGAGTCATACACAGATTTTTTTGAAAACTGAGAGGATGAGGTTGAAACAAAAAACATAGTTATGAATCATCTTTGTGATTCCTTTTATGATGTCACATAAGATTCTCTCAGGAGTAGCATATTGAAAATGTATTGCTTATGTCAGAGATGCTTGAATTCAGCCATTAAGGTCACATTATTTTGCATAAAAAGGAGTTAGTGGAAAACTTGACTCTTAGCTGTGAGTATTGCCAGTGAATGCTCAGGTGGGGGCATTTTATTCACCTGGTGGCAGCCATGAGTAATAGTGCAAGCCCGGAACCTGGGAGCTTATAAGCCTTCATGGTTGTATGTGTGTTTTTTTTCCTCTGAACAGTCAGCCTCACTGACAGCCCACACCCCAGCAACTTTAGCCCATGCAGTCCCCGAGGACACAGGCAGTCCTGCAGGATGGGACGGGGGCATCCCTCTCCGCGGGAGCTGTCTGCCCAGAGGATCCCCGAGGGTCAATCGGAACATAAAATGTTAAATACCAAAATGGCAAAATCAGGGTTTAAGCATTTGTAAGTGCCCACCATGAGGTAACAGCTTTTTTGTAGAAGGGTTTTCTTAGTGATGGCCAATGGAATTTGTTTAAACTTAATTCCCTCCTCCTCTTCTAAGAAATTGCTCAATACAATAATTAAGTAACAGAGCAAAACAGAAAACCAAGACCTTACCTGGAGAATTTCAAATCCAGGATTATTGATGGGGCCGGCATAATAAATCTGCTCTGAAACATATACAAAACAGACATAATGTTACTCAATCATATTAAACAAAAATGATTTGCTCATATTATCTGTGCTCGCTGTGCACTAGGGAGCCAGTGATGGAAAAGAAGGTCTCTGTCCACACAGTTGCTCATATTCTAAGGAGGACACTGACAGCATGTAAATCACTAAATGAGGTAATACCTGGATTGTAGAAAGTGCTAGAAGAAGACATTCTGGCTGTGTGAGAGGCAGATGGTGTGATGGTTAAGAGACCAGGCTGGAGTTGGGCTGTGTGGGGTTCAATCCTGAGACTGCCTATGATATCTGTTTGATTTTGGATAGTCATTACCCCTTTGGGCTCAGTTTCCCTTTTTAGAATGGGTATAATAATGACAATAATTCATGGTTGTATGAATTCCACTTCCTTGAGCTTTGAGGATTCAAATAAGTAATCAATGTAAAGTGCTAATAACAATGTCTGGAAAGCACTCAATAAATAATTTGCTAAAATAACAAACTAGGAGACACCATGTTTTGTTGGGTGGCTGGCCAGGGAAGGCATCTCTAAGGAGATGATATTTGAGCTAAGCCCTGGGGAGGGGAATGAGGCAATGTTCAGTAGCTCTAATATAAGAATGGGAGAGGGTAGATGGTTGGGTAGTTTTACTGGGCAAGAATGATACGGAGAAAAAGTGCAGGCTATTGGGAATAGACTTCTAATAATAGATCATGGACTCAAGAAGGGTAAGGAAGTAAATGAAGGCAGGGAGCGTTGCTAGTAGAAACAGTGGTAGAGTCAGTTGAATGGGGTTTCCATCATTGCCATCAAGGTCCTAGAATGCATGTGCTGGAAGGACATGGTGAAGCCAGGGAGCAGAAGGCTTGGCACTGAGATTTCAGAAGTGGTGCATTTACTGGGGATGACAACACACAGAGTTGATGTGGGAGTCAGTGGTTGAGGTGGAATGATGGAAAATGTTCGTGGAGGTCAAGCTGCTGGGACGTTATGGTAGCGGGTGGGCCATTCATATCAATATTGAATATTGAAACCATGCCCAGCTCCTCGTATGGTGACTGCCATCTCTGGGACTCCCCAACCCCATGCACTTAACACATAAGCACAGTGCCTAAGAGCTCAGACTCTGGGGTCAGATTGTGCTGAGCTTGAATTTTGGCTCCTCTTCTTATTAGTTGGGCAAGTCACCTAATCTTACTATGCCTCGGTTTCCTCATCAGGAAATGAGGCGGGGGTTATAATAATATTCACCTCACAGAGCTGTCATCAGCATCACATGAGTTAATGCAAGTAAAACTCTTTGCACAGCACCTGGCCCATGGCGAGCAGTCCATGTTTGTCATGCATACATTCACTCAGCAGTCTGCACTACGGGGCATCCACCCAATGCAGGCCAGGCACTATGCCAGGTGCTAGATACAACGGTAGATGAGAATATTATGTGAACCATTTGAATCATTGGCCACCCAGAATTGTAATCATCTGTTTACAGGCTGCTTCCTTCAGTAGCCTGTCCCTTCTTGTTTGCATAGCTCCCGGGACATTGCAAAGTCGAACACACAGCAGGGCGCAATATAGGGTTGTTAAAGAGGTTGTTGAGGGCGCCTGGGTGGCTCAGTTGGTTAAGCAACTGCCTTCGGCTCAGGTCATGATCCTGGGGTCCCGGGATCGAGTCCC